ATTGTAGCATAAATTCTTGGAATAAGGCGGATGCTTGTCTTAGAGCACACATGCCATTTGTTCTTCAATATATCATTGACTGTTGTGGCTCACAGGGAATCCTTATGGCTTCATAAACAGAACTGGAACCACTAGGAGTTATGTACCCAAAGTATTAAAAATGAACGGACAGCGCGAGTTCCCGAGTTCGATCCCCAGTACCAAAAAAGAAAAGGACAGTTACAAGGCATGGAGCACTTCCTGTAATGCCAAGGGGTCAACCAAAATCAGACTAGTCTTCTGATGTCAGAATGACAAGGGGATAATGGGCCAGGTGAAGGATGCAAGTGTTGATCCTTTAATGTCTCCTGCCTGTCTTAAGATCTTGATTCTGTTTTTCCCCTGACGCTTTCAGCAAGTCTCCCAGGTGAAGTGATAGCTTTTATATCCTACTGTACTCCCTCTTCAAGCCGCACGTCCCTTTGTGATGCTGACACAGTAAGGCAAATTCTGACAATAAACTAGGGAAGAAAATGGCTAGGAAATCTTTTCATCTGAGCTCAGGGTATTGCAGTCTGTGTGTGTGTGTGTGTGTGTGTGTGTGTGTGTGTGTGTGTATTTGTGTAATATGTACATATAAATAAAATATACATCCAAATTTAGGTTTCTCTAGAAGCAGATCCTGGACAAGGATTCTAGTTCCATAATTAGTTTTTGTGAAGCAGTAGCTCATAATCCTCTGGGGGATTCTGGGAAAGAGTTTTGAACATGAATGTGAGGTATTTTTCCATCACCGAGTAGATTTCCTCACCAGCTTCCATCAGTCCCTGAGTGAGGGCTGCTCCTGCAGGTTTCCTCTCAGGTTCAGCTTGAGATGCCTGAGAAGATCAGGCTCTGGTGGCCAGGAAAACCTCTCAGCAAAGGGGTGCAGTACTGAAAGGCAGAAAAAGGGAGAGCCAAGTTGCGTGGATGGCCACCTGTCACGCCCGCTGCAGTGTGTGTTAGTTACATCACTGGTGCGTGTATGTGTTAGCTGTAGTTACGAAGAGTGTACTGCAGTAGATAATAGTTGAGATGCAAATGAAGGACCAAGTGCTCCAGGGTTGGCTGCAGCTTTGCTGTCACCACTTTGGACTGTGCATTGAGCCTGGCCTCCCCTCACAGGTCTCTGTGTCTTTTGATGGCCATGTTAGCACGTGATATCATGATTTCCAACCCTGTCTGTAACTTGACTTTTCTTTTTGAGCCACTAGGCTGTTGTGGCTTCTGGCAGAGTACACACCCTCACACCCTCTTGCTTCCTCCTTTGAGAATCTTGTTTGGAATAGGTTTGAGGTTTGTTTCCAGAGAGTGGTGACAACAAGGGTACATTCCGAGGTACAGACACAGAGCTTCAAACTAGGCGTGCACACACACACACGTGTGCGCACATGCACACACACGTGCACACACACACAAGATGCAGCCCTCTTTTCATATGTGCACACCTGTTATGAATCTGAACATTTGCTTCCCTCCCAGGCAGTTGGGTTGGGAGCAATTGGGGTGAGGACCTGGTCCCTATGGCTCCAGCTGCTGGCAGCCAGTATGAGGGTCACATGATTCTGTCGATGCGCCTTCTGCTCCATAGCCAGTGTTGGGTTAGAAATGGAATTCTGTTCCACAAGCCCAATTTCCATCTAGTCTCTGGAAGTCAGTAACGGAGACATTGGGCCTGTGTCACTGTGACAGTCTAATGGATTTCCGTCAACCCAAAGGCTTGATGGAATTTCAATCTCAGGCTCTGAGTCCCTCTGCTGTGTCTCTGCCTCCTCTAGGGACAGGTGCATTGTCCACAGTCAGCAGAGCAAAGGCCAGGCAGGGTAATTAACATTTTAAAAAGGTGGGCATGGAAATGATGCATTATTCCTCCAGGGTGATCTGTGAGGCTGGGAGTGTGGAGGCCAGGAATCTTCAGGAACCTCCTCTGGCAACTTGGTGTGTGCCTGGTGCTAGATTCTTACATTGTGTTATAGAAACAAAACACATTCTGTTTATGAGTTCTCGTCTTTCCTGCTCAAGTGTGTTCCTCCTGTGGGGCCCATCTGGGCTGCTGTGTCCCTCATTCCACTACTGTGAACTCCGCAGTGCTAGCCTTCTCCTTACCCCGTCTCCCATGGTCCCTCACCTGATTAACAGATCACATTACAGTAAATTGCACCATATCAGTAATGCTCAGTTGTGATAGTACTTATTGAACTTGGCTACATGCTTCTACAGGGAGATGTCCATGGAAGATTACCTGGGAAGGCAAATCGTTTATCTGGGGAGATAGAACAACTCATATGAAAAAGCAGTGACCAATGAAAGAAAACCACGACCACCGCTCAGAGCCCTGGATTGAGATGAACACGGGAGTAGTGATGCCTGCTGATTCTAAGACTTGGAATGGTTCTAGCAAAAAGGTTTTTGAAGGATGAGCTGAGTTCCTGGTTTAGGGGTGTCACAGAGGTATTGGAATCCTGGGAAAAGCATAGTGAGCTCTGGGAAAATACAGCAAATATTTCTTTCCAGTTTAGGTCCTGATGAGTGTTGTGAGGCACCACCTTATAATGATCAAGAGCAGAGATGCTGGTTCTACCACTAAGCAATGGGAGGGCCTTTGTGCCTCAGTTTCCCCATCTATAAAGTGGGGATAATGAAAGTACAAACATTTTGGATACTTACGAGGAAAAAAAATTATAAATTACTTGACTCATGTTTGGCTCACATTAAAGGTGAGTTAACTGTTGGTGTTATCACTATAAAATTATTGTTAATTATATGACCAGGAGGAAACTTAAGTTATGTTATCTACTTTTTCATTGTTCTTGAGGGGATCCTAAATGGGAAAGGTGATTCTTTTTTTCAAAGACACCTCAACCAGTGGCCAGCATTGATGGAATGAGAACTCTAGGCTCCTGACTCCCAGCTGGTCAGAACTCTATCCCAACACTCAGAAGCTGTGACTCTGTATGTAATCTTGATAGGAGAAAACAAAATTCGGCCTGAAAGTATCTAATATGTGACCATATTGTTCCCAGAAACCAAGATCAATAATTCTGAACTGTATCAAAATGCCACAAGAAAGTAAATGATTCCACAACTTCAACCACAATCCTTGGAGCGCCCAGTTCTTGCTGCACACCACACCAACCGCTAGAAAAAGATAACTGTGGCACTTTTGTCCTATTCTCCAGAAACCTGCAATTAAGGGTCAAAGGCAGGAAGAGCTACAAACAAACAAACAAACAAACAAAAAACCAAGACAGCCAGACCGTTGTGCTTGCTGTTTTGCACACTGTTCTAAGTACTTTGCATGTATGTTCTCATTTTGTCTAACCCTCACCCTCTGAGATAGATTATATTTTTAAGCCCATTTTCTAGATGACCATGAAGAGTGTCAGAGGAATTATTTAGCCAAGGTCATACTGTAATGAACAAGGGAGATGGGAGAGTTCCCTGGAGTCTGCCCCGAGGCTGTGTGTATTTATTACGTGACGCATCTTTAGCTGGAAGGGTCAACACTCTGAACTTTATATTTCTAGTTATTGATAACTTTGGCTCTTGGATGGAGTGTGCTCTATACACAGTGAAGTTCACAGGTCTTTAGTATATGTTCATGGACTTTCACAAAGCAGACTCGTCCAACTTACCACTAGCCAGGTTAAAACACAGTATTAACAGTGTCTCAAAGTTTCCCTCTGTTTTGACCATGAACTATTACTGTGTAGATTGATGTTTCTCCACCTTGTTTACATTACCTTCTTCCTGAAGAGGTCTTTGAAGACATTTTTCCAATTGTCCCCTATGAAATCATAATACCATAGTTGCACTATAAGTCTGTTAATGTACATAGGTGTATCTGCGCAGTCTGCATACAAAGAGTTAAGATCTCTTTTGCATCTTCTGCTAAAGCACTATCCAACCCCACGGGGACAGCATCATCCCCATGGAGAAAGGCTGCTGTGGAGCAGGGGAGTCCTGTGGATGGGGGCAGAGAACACGAGGTGAAAGTCCAGGGCCCTGAATATCTGGGTGAGGTGTGTACACAGTATTGCCTTTGTATGCATTTCTCTTGTGAGAGCGTTCCCTCTTGTCCTATGTCTGTGAAATAGATAAAGTAGGTTTTAGACTTCCTGGCACAATCAGAGCCAGATCAGATTAGTCCCTGAGTTGTGCTTAGCAGTGACATGAACCCCTGGATTAGGAGGGCATTCCCTTTGGTGGATTCCTGCCTCCGCTGACCAACTCCATAGGAACTGTCCTTTCCACTGGGACTGCACTTACTCTGTGGAGACAGTCTGTTGTGTTGCTGTAGATTGAGGCACAATAAAATTTTAACGAGTTCATTGAGTGAGTAGTGGTTCATGAATTGGGTAGCTCCAATCCAAAGTGGTTGAAGAGTTTCATGGTTGAAATGCCAAAGGGAGCTCCTTATGGTATGAACATGGAGTTAAAGCAAAAGAAGTATTTGAGGGCTGGGGATTTAGCTCAGTGGTTCCACTGCCTGCTTTGCTAGTACAAGGTTCCAAGTTCGATCCCCGGATCCCCAGTACCAAAAAAAAAAAAAAAAAAAAAAAAAAAAAAAATTTTATAAAAAAAAAAAAAAAGTATTTGATTGGTTACAGTTAAATGGTTACCTTATCTGGCCTATCCCACTGCAAAGTTCCTGGTTTCATAATTATAAATTTGCTGGTTGCTTCTGATTGGTTGGGTTTAAATTCTGTTTTTCTTTAGTACAGGCATTTACATGAGGTTTTCAAACTATTGCTTACATCCACAAACCAAGCAAGATTGCAGTCACTTATGGAGCATAACTGGGTTTGTCTACCCAAAGATTCGTTAGGCTTGGTTGGCATTTTAACTTACTTTAGCATATTTGTATTAGGTTTCCCTGCTGCACAATGAAATGATCAAACTTTATGGCTTAAAGGAACACATTTGTCATTTCCCAGGTTTGGATATGGCCCTTCCTAGTTCTCTGCTCAGGAGCTCACAGCCAGAAGCCAAGATAAAAGCTGGACCAGTCACCTCCTTTGAGACTGTTGTCCTTTTTCAAGCTCAGTGGTGGTCAGCAGAATTCAAGACAGAGGCCCTCAGCTCCAGAGACCCCACTGTCCTCTGATGCGTGGCACTCTCCAGTGACTCTTCATGGTGTGACACTCGGATCCTTCAAGACTAGTGAAGATCTCTCCTGTGCATGCAGACAAGATGGAATCATTTTGAGGGGAGGTGATTGGATGAGGTGTATCACTCAGGGTGGGCGTGGAGGACCATTTTAGAATTCTGCCACCTGTGTCTCTTGTGAGTTGAACCAGCTGAAGGCTCTCCTCGATCTCTCAGGTGAGTTACTTCTGGAATGCCTGAGGATTTCCCAGTGGGCTGGGATGCTGGAGTCCATGGTGTGACCTATTTTAAGGTTCCAGGGGTACAGTGCTTGGGTTAGAACCCCAGCTCATGACTTGGGAGGGTCCTCAGATTCATTGAGTTTCTCCATTATCTCTACCAAATTCCACACCTTGCTGATGTTGGCCAAAGCCAGTTCCTGGTGAAATGACACCCGCATTTCAGATTGTAGGAAGCCCACCCCAAACTGGCTGTAATGTGCTGACACCTGCTAGAAGGTAGGAAAGAGAACAGTCTCACTGTCCAGCTTAGTTGCTCCAAAGAGGGAAGGATGAAGCGCAGTGAGAATGCAGAGGAGCTCCTTGTACCAATCTGAGTTGTGTGAGTTCTGAGGTAAATGTTCTATCTACCTCTGTGCGCTTCACTATCTTGGGAATTGCTTAATGAGTTAATCAGAACATGGAGTAGTTCGGCTGCTAGCATTCACGCTGGCCTTGGATTATGATTGATGCTAAGATGTATAGGTATCAGTGAGGCCTGAAGTATTGATTTTCAAAAGTTAAAAAGTTAATCAGGCACTAAAAATATAAAAGCATCCCTGAGTCCCCATCAGAAATATTGATTAGATACTTTTTCAGATAGGTTTTTAAAAAATGTCCAAACACAGATGTTTGGATTAAAGAGCTGCCTATTAATCATACCCTAATGTTTTCAACTATAATAATATCTTGGGCATCTGCTGTGCACCAATCCCTATGCACCTAGTGTTGCATCTTAGGGAGAAAAGCACATATTTTTGCCACAGGGAACCTTATAGCTTGACTGTGAAATATCTTTTTTTTAGTCCTATTATTTTGTTTTGCTATTTTTGTCTCCTTGATGAGATTTTTGTTCTCTAGTAGCTAGTTATTGGCTTGTAGCAGCATCTCTGAGAATTGTACTATCAAATGAATGAATGAGACGTGTCAGTGTACTATTGGTGCCTGAAAGTCCATTTTCTATGCTTCTGTTTTTACTACTTGAAAATTCACTTATATCTGTGTACCCAAAACTGTATTCTGTATTAATATTTATTAATAATTATGTTATTTCTAAGAAATCATCTCATTTAGTGGAACTGAGCATTAATATTTCCCCTAAGCTACCAAAAATGTTAAAAATAATTTTCACTTTTAATCTCGATTAATGATACAGTATTTAAATAATTTCATTAGCTGTGACACATATAAAATACTTGTTGATAAATTTGGATAAAAGTATAAACCAAAGTTTAAAAGTATTTCTTATGCGATTCTAAAATATGTAAGGAAATCATACAACTCAATAGCAAACTGACAAGTAATTGATTAAAAGATGGTTAATATAAAAGTTTCCATAGCTAACAATTACAAAAAAAGAGTGTTCAGCAGGGAAATGCAAAAAACTAATCAGAATCAGATATCACCTGCACTTATTAGAATGACTACTGTTAGAAAAACTGACAGAGGTATTGCTCAGGGTGTGGAAAAGAGAGAACTACTATATCTACCCTTAGGGGATGTGGATTGGCATAGCCTTACGGAAAACAATAGGGAAGTTCTTTAAAAAATTAAAAATAGAATTTCATGTGATCCAGCAATGCATTTCTGGATATATATCCAAAGAAAATGAAATCAGTATGTCCAAGACATATCTACATTCCTATATTCATTTCAGCATTGTTTACCACAGTTGAGATCCATAACCAACCTGAATGTTCACCAGCAGATGAGTAGATAAAGAAATTGTGGCTGGGTGTGGTGGCACACGCCTGTAATCCCAGCACTTGGGAGGCTGAGGTGGGAGGATTACTGTGCGTTTGAGACCAGCCTGGGGTACATAGTGAGTTCCAGGTCAGTCTCAACTACATAGTGAGACCCTGTCTCAAAAAAACAAACAAAAAAAGAAATTGTGGTACATATGTACAGTGGAATACTATGTAGCTTTCAAAAAGGAGATCCTGCCATTTGTATAAATTAACCTGGAAAACATTGTGTCAAATGAGATAAGCTGGATATAGAAAGAAAAAAAATGTATGATCGTACTTAGATTTCGAATCTTTAAAAAGTTGAATACATACAAATGGTAGTTCCCAGGGGCAGAGAAAGAAAAGAAATGGGGAGAGGATGTGTCAAAAGGTACAAACTTCAGTTAAGTTGTATGAATAAGCCTAGTGATCTGATGTTCAGCAAGAGGAATATAGTTAATAATATTAATAATTATATTTAAAACTTGCTAAGAGAGTAGATTTTAGGTGCTCTTAATGCAGAAACAAAGAAATAAAGGGACACTACTTCGCTTACCTAATGATTTCTCTCTCTCCATATGCATGTGTAGTAACATGTTTTATCCTGAAATTAACATAACAAAATAAATTTTAAATATTTCTGATGTGAATTTACATTTAATGATAAGAAAATGACATTCAGTGACAAGAAAATGACTCAAAGAATAGAGTCTTGCTGTCTAGCTGCTCAGTCATCTATACACTGTCTGGCTTGCTGTGTGAAGTTGGACACTTGAAGGTTTATCTCATTACTGTACAATAAGCAATTTTTTCTTAGTGGTTTTAGTATGAGGGACCCCTACCTCCTCCTAAGACAGGCACATTTCGGAGGTAGTTTTGGGAGGTAGAATACTCTTCCTCATAGAAAGATTGGCAGGATTTTAGGCCAACTGACAGAAGCCCACCTGAACCATGTCCTGTGACACTAGCAGAGACAGAAGAAATAACTGCTTTGACAACACTGAGTAAATGGAAAAATATATCAAGAATGTCACCAAGTATCTTCTTCTTCCAACGGTGGAAGATGGCTTCTACTTTCCTCTGCTAGGGGCTGGTTGTGGAGGCTGGAGGTGGCTCACGTGGGTCTGTGCACTGGCAGGTTGGTGACTGGCAGGTGGAGGACTGCGGCCAGGGGATCGAGGAGCTGGACATCCTGAGTCCAGAGCGATGGAAGAATCTAGACACTTGTTTTGGAGTCAGTCACCTGCAAGGCCATTACTGTCCACCTCCCTTGTACGCTCCTCCCTTCTTCTGCAGTGCTCAGGATGGGCCTGCGTCAATCCTACCCTGTTACCATCTCGGAAATCTCTTACCCTCAGAGCCCTCCGTGGAATGAGTCACATCTCAAAGCTCCTGACTCTTCTGTCCCTAAAGGAAAGAACGTGGAAGTTTCCCGTAACAAGATTGTACTGGATTGAATACTGTCCCACAAACATCACGGCCACCTAGAACCTCAGGATATGACATTGTTTGGAAATAGGGTCAGTGTAGGTGCAATTAAAGGTGAGGTCCTACTTATTAGAGTGGACTTCGATTCACTTGCCACATCCTTGCTGTAAGAGAGGAAGCACACACAGACAGAAGACTGTGTGATGTCGGTGGTAGAGAGTAAGTGATGTCGCAAAAAGGCAAGAGATGTCTGGAGCCGCTAGAAGCCGTGAGAGGCCAGGAAGGACCCTAAGGGCTTCCGAAGGAACGTGGCCTTCCCTCAGCTTGATTTTGAATTCTAGTCTTCAGAACAACGAGAGAATGAATTTCTGTTGTTGAAGCCATGGTGAGAAGTTTAATGGGAACGAGGGTTTTAGCCTAAAACTAAAAGGCATCAAGAGTGCCACATAGTATGGAGCTCAGATGGGAATCGTTCAAGTTGACATTGTTCTCACGGGAAGGGGAACCACAGAGGGAAAGAGGGAAGGGAAGGAAGGAAAAATGGATTTAAAAAAAGAGAATGGAAGGAAAAAATGGACACAGCTTTTGTAAATGGGGATGGGAAGAAAGGTTAATGGGCGGAGGGGGAATGAAAAAAATGAAGATGTTTATTCTCTATAACGAATGTAACCATTAGGTATGGCAAATATATAAAGAATAAAGTTTTTAGAAAGATACAAAGAAAAAAGGAAAAACGATGCTACATTTTAAAGAAGGCCCTCAACATGCGGCCACAGCAGCCTGTGAAGGGCCAGTCCCTTCCCCATCTACTACTGGCCAGCTACTACCCAGCGCTTCTTCTCTTCCTCCTAATAGTTTTGTCACGAAGTCCAGTGGGACGATACCTATGAAAATACTAAAAGGCCTGGGAACCTGAGAGAAAGAGACATTTGCCTTCCAGGCCTGGACGTTGTCTTAGGTAGAAGACCGGCCGGTTCACCTGAGGGACAGGGGAGGGGAGGCAGAATGGCAGAAGATGGGATGGAGCAGGCGGAAGGTCAGTCTGAGGTCAGGCTGCCTGAGCCTCCTTCGGCCGTGGGTACCCTGGAGAGGTAGCTAGGCTTGAGCCCTCTCATTGGTACCCACAGAAGAGGTACACGCCCTGAGCACAGGGAACCTAGCATCAAGACCCTGTGTGACTGCACTGGTCTAGTAGCCGTGGGAGAGAGCAAGTCAGAGCCAGGCATCCAATGTCAGGGAGCTGTGCACGGCTGGGAGTAGAAAAAGATGATGTCAGAGCCCCGTGAAGCCTTCAGACATGTCCACTAAAGTTGGGGGACACTGTCCCTAGAGGTACTACAAGTTAGACAGTATGTCTGTAAGAACCCCCTGAGAAAGGGTGCCGCAGCAGCCACGTAGGTGAATGGGCAGGTGTTGCTTTCCCGAGCCCGTCAGCAAGGGCTCAGCCATTAGTGGACGCTGGCACTGGAGAAGATGACCTGGCCCCACCCTTCAGCATCTTCAGTTCCGGTTCAAGTCTGCACAGAAAGCTCGAGATTGAAGGCAGGACTGAAATCAGGCCTTCACCAGGGGTCCTCACTTATTGCCTCTTCACTCAGCAATTTTAAAGGACTGCAAATGTTGGACATTGGCTAAGACTCTATAAAAGAGCAGTCAGAATATTCAGCGGAGCCAAAAGGGTGGGGTGGTGATTAGAAGAGAGAAAATTCCTGCACTCTTATAGCTCAATGTTTTGAGACTCCTTAATAAACTGGTTGTATCCCCCTCCCAAGTTTTAACTTTTTTATTTACGTGCCCATTATGA